CAGCTACCCCAATGGATGCAAAGAGATGACCTGTTGTTCTCTAACTGTGGAAAAATATGCATAATGTGACATTTGCCACCTGTGTCATTTGCTGTGCAGCTTGGCAGCATTAGCATATTCAGAGATTTCCTAAAGAAGTGTCATGTACCACATCAAATGTACACAAACTCATGTGAGTTTACAGCGCCAACCACAGCACATATTCTAAACTGGCTCCCCCACTGAAGCCCTTGTGTGCATCGTCTTCAGCTGGTCTTACAAACTGGAGACCAAGTTAGCCTAGTGGTCTGTTTTTATATAAACCTCTCCAGGACTCCTTCATCTCACCCATCAAGCAATAACTCTCCATTCTTGCCTACTCTCAACTCCTAGCAATACCTATTCTATCCATTTTTTTATGAATTTGGTTGCTCTAGGTTTTTGGAATCATGGGATCCTACACAGTGTATCATTTATGACTGACTATTTTCACTTCAGATAGTATTCTCAAACTTCATCTACCTCATGGCGTGTGGTGGCACAACTTTCTTTTAGGGATGACTAATAGTCCACTATCCATGCATGCTCCATTTTTCTATCTGTGGATAGGCACTGAGCTGTTTCTGCCTTTGACTACTGCATGGACACATGGGTGTGGGACCAGCTTCTTGCTCTGTTTTTCTGGGTTTGTACCCAGCAGTAGGGTTATTGGGTGATGTGGTGGCATTATTTTTAAGTATTTGAGGGATCACTACAGTTTCCATACTAGGTACACTATTTTAGTTTCCTACCAGAAATGTACAAAAGTCACATCCTCACTGACAGGGACGGGGCCACCCATCAACAGCCATTCTGGCCGTGTGAGACATGTTTCATTATTATTTCATCTACATTTCCCCTATGTCTGTTACACTGAGCATTTTTCTCTTGTGTTTATTGGCTATCTGCATATTTTCTCCAGAAAATATATCTAATTAAGTCCTCTGCCGGGTTTTAATCCAGTTGTTTTACAGTTGTTATTATTGTATTTTAAGCATTCTCTATATGCTGGCTATTAATATCTTATTAGAGATGTAATTTGCAACTTTCTCCCATCTGTCATCTGCCTTTTGACTCTGTTGGCTGTACACATGAGAATCTATGAGTTTATATGTGTTAGATATGAGCTATCTAATGCCCTTCCATAATCTCATCCTGCTCAGCGGCTAGCAGGGGCCTCTGTCAATCGCACCCCAAAAACTAATTCCTACATGCAGCTGAGACAGTTGCAGTTATAATTAATATGTCCTCGGAAGTTAGTGCTTTGAGAGACACTCTCAATATTGTGATTTTTCTGCCAACTATATTTACTGCCAGTAGACTTCTCATATCTATCTGTAAAACTGGTTTAATAGAATCTATATGTACTAGGATGAATACAATGAGGATTATCCAAAGAGTAGACACAGGATGTAGACACGAAAAGGAGATACAGAGTGAGAAATGGTCACCTGAAGAGCACATTTCACTGCAGATATGCCCACCCCCAACCTCCACCCCACCCCCACCCCAGTATTACATAGCTGTAACCAGATCAGACAGAGCCTCCACCCCACCCCAGCATTACATTGCTGTAACCAGGTCTTACACAGCCTAGAAGGAGAAAATGTAAGCTCTAGGAGTTTATCTTTGTAAAGCAGGGGACCTAAGAGCATCTCGGGAGCTACGAGGTCTTGGAGGGAACGGAGAGGAGGTAGAGGGTAGGATGCTGCGGACCAGAAAGAATTCAGAATTCTCACCTCAGTTATTCCGCTTTTACACTGAATGTGTTGCTTCATTCAGAGCTGCTCCCACCTCTCCCAGCTCATAATTAAACTCTTAAAAAAACAGAGCTCTCTGATTAGAACGCGGCCTTTATTGCTTTGCATGCTGCTCCCTTGCCCACACAGCCATGCGTGAGTAACAGTGACCTCATCACAGAAACAGAACTCTGGACATGACCTCAAGGAACACACGGGATTCTCTGGCTCTTCCTCCCCCCTCCCCACCATTCGCCTCTCTGTTTTCAAGGGTTTTGCAATGCCAGCATGCTGGTCCCTTGGAGAAAGAAACTGTTCCTGTCTGTGTCCACCTCTCCTGTAAATAAAGTGGTTTTCTTCAGTTTTACTCCGTGTGAGGAGAGTTGGGAGAAGGATATGAAGAAAGTGATTTAAAGTGGAAAAAATAAACATATGCCCTAAAAGGCTCACGATATAATCTCTCTCTCTCTCTCTCTCTCTCTCTCTCTCTCTCTCTCTCTCTCTCTCTCTCTCTCTCTCTCTCTCTCTCTCTCTCTCTGTGTGTGTGTGTGTGTTTCTTTTTTTGTTCTGTTTCTGGTTTTGGTTTTTCGAGACAGGGTGTCTCTGTGTAGCTTTGGAGCCTGTCCTGGAACTCACTCTGTAGACCAGGCTGGCCTCAAACTCCTGAGTGCTGGGATTAAAGGTGTGTCACTACCAAACAGGCACAAGATGATCCCTAAAGAGATCAGGACCAACTGAAGCAAGCCACAGAAGGAACCCAAGACGTACGGAGTAAACAGCAGGCACAGGCTAAGCACTGGCTTCAGAGAAGAGCAATGCTGGCCGAGTTGACAAAGGGTTCACATGGAAGTCCACACCCATTAGGCTATGTCACCTGGGCCACCACCCTTTGTAGGCAAAGAACACCTGTGTAATTTGTGCCAAACCAGCTAATGACAAGTAGCATCAGACATTTGAGAAATAATTAGCTGCTCACCCTTCATTTTCAGCCTGCAATTAAACAAGTGCAGATGTAATTATTTGTGAATGTAATTTTTCCAACAGCAAATAATTGTGGCTAAAGAACTACCTACATTGTGAAAGGGAGGTTTAATTGAACCCCCCTTTAATATGTTGGTGCTTAAAATATAAGTTGGTATATAATTTGATTAGTGGAAAAACACCCGTGGCTTCTTTATTGCATTTTTATATTTTAATAACTGCTTTCCCTAGCCCATTGTGGCCCTCACTTCAGCATGGTCAGTGTAGCACGCTCTTAATTAAACCCTAAGCAATGCCACATCACAGAGGAGGTAGCTAGGAGACCTACCCAGACCTCGTGAGTTCCCTACAGCCAGCCCAGAAGAGGCACAAATAAAAGGCCCCAACTTTGAAGGACGCAAATTACTATGTCCTGCTTGAAATATCAAGGTATGGCCCCAAAGGAACTGAGTCCAGCACCTAGCACCAAAGGTCACAGCCCATCACCTCTGGCTGACACTGTTGAATCTTCCCTTGCATGCCCTCATCCTGTAAACATGACTTCATTCTGGTTCTGAGTGCTCTTGTCTCTCTGTTTGCTTATCTGTCTGTCTTGCCGCTGTCTCGTGGGCTGCAGGAGGAAAAGCTTAGGATTTTTTCCTTGGTGCATTTGCATCTCTGCGGATAGAAAACCACTAAAATTAGTCTCAGCCAAACAAAACAAAACAGAGTAACCAGCTAACAGAAAGACCCCTGAAGAGATTCGGTTTCTTTCTTTTGTGTCTTTGTTGCAGAGGGATGTTCTCCAGGTAAAAAGCAAGCTCATAGCTCTTGTACTGCTTAGGCTTGAACTAGCCCCACCGCTTGCCTAGAATAAATTGCTTAAGTGTGTGTGTGTGTGTGTCTGTGTGTGTGTGTGTGTGTGTGTGTGTGTGTGTGTGGCGTATGTACAGTTGTACATGTTGTTAATATCCAGACATCTGTACTAGCCTGTCCTTAGTGTTCTGACAGGGTTCGATCTTAGCCGCAGCCAATAAGAGCATCATCTGTACATATTCACTATGTTCCCTTTTTAAAGGGCCCTGCCCACCCTCTCCCACTGCTCCTGTCCCCAGAGGTCAGTCCTCCCCCCCTTTCTCCTTTTCACGATCCTTTTCCCTAATTCAAAAACAAACAAACAAACAAACAAAAAACCTCTACTTGAACACTGCCTCATGGCACCTTTCTCTCACGAGTCGTTTGTTTTTAAATTACAGCACACATTTAAGCATGCATTTGGAGGCCAGAGACAACTTTGGGTGTTATTCTTCAGGAGTTGTCTCTCAGGTGCTATCTATTTTCGTTGTCCCTCACTGGTCTGAAGCTTACCAAGTAGACTAAGCCAGTCAATGAGTCTCACGGATCCATCTGTCCCTGTCTCCCAGCAGATACAAGCATAGGCCGCCATGCCTGGCTTTTTCACCTGGGGATTGAACTCAGGTCCTCATACTTCTGAGACAAGCATGCTATTGACTGTGCTATCTCTACTATACTGTGTAAGCTCTTTGTTTTCTCACCTATAAAATGTAGACAATAGCAATGCCTACTCATTTTATAAGACTGTTGTAAATAATAAACACAGTAACATATGTAAGTAATTCACAACATGCTTGACACATAAGAGCTCAGTAAAGGCAAGCTTTATTGATGCTGAAAGACAGGCGTTTCATGGGCAACAGCAGGCATCTATCAGCCTGACTTAGTGGCCTATGAGATGGTTAGTCTTAAATGTCAACTTGCCATAGCCTAGCGTCATCTGGGAAGAGCTCCTGAACAAGGGCTCTCTTACACAGGTTGGGTTGGCCTGTAGGCATATTTGTGGGCGATTGTTGTCAGGGCCATGGGAGGGGATCAACAGGCAGCATCGGAATTCAGGGAACACAGCTGGGTGGTTGGCAAAGCCACATCTGAGTGAGCCTTGGAGAGGCAGAGCCCCAAGGACTATGTGTCCTGGGGACCTAATACTGTCATTGAGTGTAGCTCTGATTGTTGCCTTCATGCTCACCACATCCCTCATCATCTATGGGTTAGATGAAAACTCTCAGGGGTTTCTAGCCCCCTCACTGGGCAGTGTTACTGGTACTTACAATAATAGTGATTGACTTTTTCCAATCATCCATGCTGGAGCAGTTTAATGATTGTACCACCACTCTTAGAAAGAATTCAGACATATAGAATTGTTTAGTAAGGTTAGGTTAATATGTTTTTGTTAATGGCTTGGAGGTAGAAAATCTTGGGGAACAATTTAGAGTTTAGAAACACACTTTTAATAGTTGAACAAGGGACTCTTTGAGGTCAGGGAACAGGAACAATGGCAGCCTGGATATTGCTGGCTGATGTACCTTTCTTGCTAGGATGGGTTGGTGATCAAAGGTGATAATTAATTCCTTGTGCTCATTTCTGCCCTCAGCTCCCTGAAAAAAACCAAAACATTGATGAATGGGTTTGTATCCTGAGGACTTAAAGTAAAAATAACTGACTGTTTTTCACATACAAAAATTTAGATTGCCGGGCAGTGGTGGCGCACGCCTTTAATCCCACACTCGGGAGGCAGAGGCAGGCGGATCTCTGTGCGTTCGAGGCCAGGCTGGACCGACAGCCTCCAAAACAATACAGAGAAACCCTGTCTCGTAAAAACCAAAAAAAAAAAAAAAAGTTTAGATTTGTGGTACTTTTGGGGGGGTTGGTTTTTTTCAAGACAGGGTTTCTCTGTGGCTTTGGAGGCTGTCCTGGAACTAGCTCTTGTAGACCAGGCTGGTCTCGAAGTCACAGAGATCTGCCTGCTTCTGCCTCCCAAGTGCTGGAATTAAAATCACCACCGCCTGGCTTTGTGATTCTTTTAAGGTTTTTTTTTATATAAGATTGCCTTTTGAGATAAATAATAAAGTGATTAGTTCTTTCTCTATAGCCAAAAATGCATCCTACTAGTAAAAGGACTGGCTGAGTAAAATAACCTTGCTTGCTTACACTCTGTTGATCTATAGCAAGTTGCTTGGGCATGAATGTATGTGAGTTCTTGGAGATAATTTGTTTTTCGCCTGTAATACACAAAATGTTATTCCTGTAATAGATATGGGACATATGCTGGTCTTTCTACTTGTACTCATTGCAATTATTGACTTAAAAATAGAATGTAGCCACACTATAATTTTTATATTGCTTGAAAGGTTTTGCTGGGGTGGTGTATACGCTGTAAGGAAAAAATTAAGGACAGACAGAAGGGTTACATCTGAATACAGGTAAGAAAAGAAAGATGATAGAAAGACCCCAAAGGGGTGTGTGTGTGTGTGTGTGTGTGTCTGTGTCTGTGTGTGTGTTGTGTGTGTCTGTGTCTGTGTGTGTGTGTGTGTGTCTGTGTGTGTGTGTGTTTTCCTTTTTCACTGGCCCCAGAGAGTTAAGCTTGGCCCTACTTGCCAGCCCCAGAGAACTTAGTTTTACTTCCTCAGTTAGGAAAGTCAAATTGAACTGTTAGTCCGAAGACTCTGTGGTTCCCTCTCAATTCCTGAGCTGCTGAAGGGGAAGGCTGGTCCTCACAGCAGCAATTCCTGCACCCAAACAGGGACTTAGGGGGTAATCAAGAGGGCTGTCAAGGAGAGAGAGGCACCCTTTTCGCGGATTGTCTAAGAGAGTGGCAATTCTCTAATGGTCACCGCGGAAGGAGTCTTGCCTAAGTTGCTGAGATTGTCTTGATTGTCTTAGATGAGGTGGGATGGAAGACCTACCTCAAATGTGGGCCACACCATGTCATGAGCCAGCGGTGACCTGCTAAGAAGGAAGGAAGCCAGTTGAGAGCAACCAAACCAGCAGCATGGACCCTAGGCTTCTCTTTGCTCCTGACTGTGGATGCGATGTGATCCACTGCTTGAGTTCTTACTGCCGCTTCCCCCTCAGTAAGGGGCTATACCCAGAAGAGTAAGGGGAACAAAACCTCTCCTCCTGTGTCTCTTTGTCAGGGCAGTTATCACAGCAAGAGACATTCTTTCCAATGACAGGAGAGCACAGCACGTTTATGTAACACCAGGTGTCACATAAACAATTCAGCTTTTTCCTTAGGGATGGCCCTCTAGAAGCACCTTTTCCTGTGTTATCTCAGTTAAGTTTCACTGCACATCCGGGAGCCAAGGACCAGTCTTAGTCTCACTTTCCAAGTGGGCAAAGTCAGGCTTACCGAACCGGGTACAGAGAAAACAAGGTTGGCAAACTTTCGCTATCCAGAAACAGATGGGAAATCTTCAGACACTGCCGGCCAGATGGCATCTGTCACAACTTCTCAGCACTGTCACTCTAGATGGAAAGCAGCTGTAGGCAACACATAAACAAATGAATGTGGCTGTGCTCAAGGGGTCTTTTTTATGAGTACCAAGGTCTGTCTTCTGTATCTTTGTGTCACAGAACAGCATCTTTTGTTTGTGTTGCCTCGGGGCTTGTTACCTGTCTTTCATTCTGTCTGCCCCACTTTCCTGCTTCCTCGGTGTCCAGTTGGGTGGTCCCTGACGTCTCTTTTTCTTGCTTCATGGAGCCTAAATTCCTCCTCCTACTTACTCTCCCTGCCTGAAAGTTCCATCTATACCTCCTGCCTAGCTATTGGCCATTTAGCTTTTTATTAGACCAATCAGTTGCCTTAGACAGGCAAGGTAAACTAATGAAACACATCTTTACAAAGTTAAACTAATATTCTGTAACATAAACAAATGCAACACGTCTTTGCATAGCTAAACAAATATCCTGCAACATAAACAAAGGCAACACATCTTTATATAGCTAAACAAATACTCTGCAACATTTCTGCAATCCATCTCAAAGAGGGGAAAGTCTAGCTTCTGTGGGATGAGCTAGAACTAGGCTAGACAGTTGAAGACAGGAGGAGTAGTGCCAGGGTCTTGGAGGTCCCGTTGAGCATAGTGTTCTATTTGGAGGAGTCCACTAAAGTTTGGTTAAGGCAGGAGTCTTTGTCACAATGTCATTTCAAAAGTGACTCCAGGAAATGAGCAACACGGCATAGATGTGATCTGAGCAATGTGAGCACACAGGGGCATAGATGTGATCTGAGCAATGTGGGCACACAGGGGCATAGATGTGATCTGAGCAATGTGGGCACACAGGGGCATAGATGTGATCTGAGCAATGTGGGCACACAGGGGCATAGATGTGATCTGAGCAATGTGGGCACACAGGGGTTGTTCTTGAGGTAGATGCTGAGCTTCTCTAGCATCTGGGTTGCCAGGTTGACATTAGGTTGCTATGCGGCACAGAGCATGTTACACTTCATTCATGATGAAGGTGGTGGGAAAACTCACTCTTTCTGATCTCTCCGTTGCCTTCCTAGCCAAGTTGTCTTCCCTAAACCCAGATCTGAGCAATCTCCAACTGCCTACGGAATAAAATCCACCCACATCTGATGGGGGAAGTCCTTCTGTGTATATGTTTGATTGGTATGAATAAAGCACTGTTGGACAATAGAGAAGCCAGATAGGTGGGACTAGGAGTCTAGGAGGATTCTGGGAAATGTAGTGAAGAGAGTTGTTGTGATGTGATCCTTGGAGGAGAGAACACAAGCTTGGCATTCTTGGAAAGATAAGTCCTTATAAAAGTATATATTAGTGATTATGGGTTAATAACTAAGTCAGAGCTAGCCGATTAGAAATCATAGCAAACAGCAGCCAACAGCTTCATAATTAATACAGTGTCTCGTGTGTTATTTGGAGACTAAAGCGGCGATGGGACCCAGGCGGGATCCCACAACAATATGGAGCCGACAACGTGGGTATTAAGAACTTCCACTTAAAACTTGACAAAAGCTTAAAAAGGGATTTTACACCCAAAAGAACAGAGGCAAACATAGCTTCTTGGTAACAGCTTTTTCTGGGGTGGGTTCTGTTTTGCTAGAGACAAGCAGAGTCTTGCCTGACAGCACTGGTGGTAAACTTACACCCGCCATCTTGCAAAAAAAAGCAGTTAAAACAGCTGCAGTTTGATTTTAGGAATGCTGTTTAGCAGATAACAGACACGTGGCCAGAAAAGCATAAATATTTACAGCAAAGAGATTCAGATGAAGAAAAACCTCTAAAGGTTTACAGTGTGTTTAAAAACATATGTAGGCTTGGGAGAGAAAAAGAAACAAGATAAAGTGGTTAAAAAAAATAGAAAGAGAAAATGGCTGGGCGGTGGTGGCACACACACCTTTAATCCCAGCACTCCAGAGGCAGAGGCAGGAAGATTTCCACAGAGAAACCCTGTCTCAGAGAAAATAAATAAATAAATAGAAGTAAAAGAAGTAGAGTACCAAAAAAGCCACATAATGATGAAAAATACACAGAGTCTGGATACTGTATGCTATTGTGTTTTTCAGTTGTTCAATTGCTAAGGAAGGAACAACTGCTGAAATATACTTGATTATAAATGCTGCTAAATTAGCCGGGCGTTGGTGGCGCACGCCTTTAATCCCAGCACTCGGGAGGCAGAGGCAGGCAGATCTCTGTGAGTTCGAGGTCTGGTCTACAGAGCGAGTTCCAGGACAGCCTCCAAAACAATACAGAGAAACCCTGTCTCGAAAAACCAAAAATAAATAAATAAATAAATGCTGCTAAATTAATCCAACTTACATATTTTAAAAATGCTTTGACTTCTAAATTTAAATATAAGGACAGGTTACTTGGGAAAAGAGTTTTTGCTTGTGTTTCCACAGAAAATGAAAAATCATGGATTCCTTTCAGATTTATATGGTTTAATGAACCAAGACCCCCCCCCCAAAGCAGTGGCCAAGGTGATCTCACATCTAAGACAAGTGAGATGATGCAGACTTGCAGACTACAAAAACAAGGACTTATACATGTTTCTGTGTTTTGTCATGATCCCCATAGTATGGACAGCTACCCCATCAAGCAGGAAGCAGTTTGGAATGACCAATGCCCAAATTCCCAAATATTGTTTAAATGTTTGTTTTCATTTATACAGAGTTAGTTATGAATGGTAATTATCACAATCAATCTCTTTCTAAAGGGAAAAAAGGGAATATGATATAGTAATGAATACTTTGTATTGGAATGGATTTTCATTTATTAATAGAAATTTAAGGTCAATTTTGTGATATGTATATTTATCCTCTTTTTTAAATATTGTGTTTATACTGGTCTTTTAAAAATGTGATGTATAATTAAGTAGAGATTATAGATAGTTACCTATAATAGTCAAAACTTATAGCTGGGTTAGTTAGGTTTTCTAGATATACAGAGATGTATTTAAGATAGATAGATATTCTTCAAACCTTTCAAAGACCTACAGAATATATGGCATTTAAATGGTTTAGGGTTTTTCGTGATAGTGAGACACAACAGCCCCTGACACACCAATTACTTCTGAGAGGAAGATGGGTATCAAAGATACTCGTTGTGGAGTTTGCTTTCAACATGGCAAGATTAGCCATTTGGGCAAGAAAGTGTTCTTGACTGGACTGTTTGACTATTGCTGTATAAAGTAGACATGAAGGACCCACAGGAAAGTGACTGCTGAACTTGAACAGTCATACAGGGTCCCTGCTTCATGGAAGAGTCTGCCAGACATTCTACAGGACACAGAAAAATGACTAACAAACTGCCAGAGCTCTTATATGTAGCGGACAGTTTAAAATATCCTGCTTTGTTGTGAAGTCTTCCAGACACACTGTGACCTATGGGCTGAAGATGGATGCCCCAATGTTACAGAGGAACTTTGGGTGACTGTCCAGGTAGTGAGATGTCTCTGTCAATTCTAGTGTTTATATATTATCCTTCTGAGGTCTTTTATGGAGTTGAAGACAGATAGTTATAGTTTTTCTTAGTTATAATAAAAGATAAGCTACATATAAGATTTTAGACTCACACGGATAGGATAGATGATAAAATGCTTTCTTTAAAACTTACTAAATGTTAATGGACAAAATATTGTAACTATAGTTCTTGCTTGATAACTATTCTGTTATATATAATTTAACTATGTTAAAGTTAAAACCGCTGGGCGGTGGTGGCGCACGCCTTTAGTCCCGGCACTCCGGAGGCAGAGGCAGGCGGATTTCTGTGAGTTCGAGGCCAGGCTGGACCGACAGCCTCCAAAACAATACAGAGAAACCCTGTCCCGTAAAACCAAAAAAAAAAAAAAATTAAAGTTAAAACCTTTCTTTTTATTTAGACAGAAAAGAGATGATGGGGGAAGTCCTTCTGTGTATATGTTTGATTGGTATGAATAAAGCACTGTTGGACAATAGGGGAGCCAGATAGGTGGGACTAGGAGTCTAGGAGAATTCTGGGAAATGTAGTGAAGAGAGTCGTCACGATGTAATCCTTGGAGGAGAGAACATAAGTCTGGCGTTCTTGGAAAGGTAAGTCCTTATAAAAATATATGTTAGTGATTATGGGTTAATAGTTAAGTCAGAGCTAGCTGATTAGAAACCATAGCAAACAGCCAACAACTTCATAATTAATACAGTGTCTCGTGTGTTATTTGGGGGCTAAAGCAGCAACAGGACCCAGGCGTTGCTCATTGTTCTGAATTCCATGCTGGCGCCGTGGGTCAGGCTCTGTGGGAACCAGCCTGGGAAATGCACAACAATGCCCAAAGGAATACTGCATGACCCAGCTCCCACACTGCTAAGTGTCTTGAGCTAGTAGTTTGTGCGACTCCTCACAGAGGTCAGACATCAATGTGCTTAAGATTCTAAGATGTCCTGTGGTATCACAGAGTTGTCTATGACACCCCAGAGCAGTGGTTCTCAATTTGCGGATTGTGATCCCTTTGGGGGTGGAACACACTTTCATAGGGGTCACATATCAGATATTTACATCATGATTCAAAACAGTTGCAAAAATTACAGTTATGAAGTAGCAACTAAATAATTTTATAGTTGGGGGTCAGCACAGCATGAGGAGCTGTGTTAAAGGGTCACAGCTTTAGGAAGGCTGACAACGACTCTGTAGAGAACCTTAATGCAAAGCCTGGAAACCATTGACTTGGTGGGTACATCATTGATTGCTTTTATACAGTTTTCTCAAATAAACAAACTTTTTTTTTTAAATCTCATTTTTAAAAATGTGTTGTCCAGAATCGCTTTACTGGTGGGGAATACTCAGAGAACTCCAAAAAAGAAAGTGGAAATGAAAAAAAAAAAAGAAGAAGCCAATGAAACCTGAGAAAAATGAAAGAAGGATCCATGGTCTTATTGAACTGTTTAACCTGTGAAAGCATGTCATAAAAGACATTTCTTTTTTTTTTTTTCATGAGTCATGGCCAATTACTATTGTTTTGCTTTGAGTGATGGGTTCTGGACAGCAAGGAGTTGATGAAACTCATCCCCAGGCCAAAAACAGATGCTCCTCCTCCTCCTCTTCCTCATCCTCTTTCTCCTCCTCCTCCTCCTCTTCCATTTCTTCTTCTCTTTGAACACAGGAGAGTGAGGACAGAGAAAAAGGGAAAAGTGATTACCCTACCTTCGCATACACAGCTATTTTTAAATATAATTACACACTTGGCTGATGTCTCTATTTTATTGCCTAGGGGCAGTCATGTTTGCATCAAACACTTCAATGCAGAATGTTATAGAAGCTCCGGGCTGGTCAGAGCATGGGCTAAAAAGGACTAAAGCATCTTTGGACTTGCACTCCGAGCCTCCTTCTACCTTGTTCAGCCCCAGCTTTTTGGTGGAGGTGAAGTTATCGGTCTTTTCGGCTCTCCTTTCTCCATTAGTCATCTTTGTCTTTCAATCTCTGGGTCCATAGGACCAGATAGATCATGGTGAAGCCAGCCCCCCACCGGGACAAGTTTGCTCTCTCAATGTCCAGACTACTAAATCTACCATCATTCAGGAAGCAGGGTGGGGGTGGGGAGGTGTGAGCAACTGTTGTTCGCCCAGCAGGAACCTTCACTATCCAAGCAAACAGGGCTCTCCTGGGGGTTCCCTAAAACCCCATGAGTCATACCCAAAGGCAAAGCAGATTGTGAAATCTGCCCTCAAGTGGTTTTAGAGAGGTGCGTTTTCACATTTGCTTCCAGATTCCTGAACTCAAGTTTCATCCTCCTGAAATCTGAGCTGCGCGTAAAAGGATGTGTTAGGAGCCCACTGGCTCGTACTCGGCATTTGCTCTTAGAACCAGGAACAGCAGGAAGGGTTTGCGCTCAACTCAACCAAGCAGCTGTGAGGACATTTCAAGCAGCTGGGTCTGGAGCTAAGTTAAACACTCCAGGCTTGCTCAAGCACGGCTGTGATGAGGAAGAAGGCTCAAAGACAACCAGCTAGTGAGAACAGGGCTCCCCACCTACAGAGGTGCAAGTTGCCCCCTTTAACAAACTACGGAAAAAGCGGGGAGAGGAAAGAGCCTTGAATGTTAAGTTAGGAATTAATTCTTCAGTGCTGTAGCCAAGGCTCTTTTCGGCTAGTATGCATTCATCTCGGTGGTGATTTTGTTTAATGATGTTTGCAAAGTTCAAGGCTGCAGCCGGAAAGATTCAGCTCATTAGGGAATGAATGAGAGTTGTGGCATTTAGGACTGAATGCTTCACCATGAAGAAGCATCCATCGTTTGAGTTTTTCTTCCCTGAGGTCCAGGCAGGACTCCAGCTTTCAGGACCGAGGAATGACTAAGTCAGGGCCATCGCCAAAGGTTGGGACATAAGCACCTGTGCAAATCTCTCCCTCCCCTTTTACTTTAGAAGCTGATGATTCCACAGCAAAGCTGGGGGAGGAACATTTTTCAAAAGGTGAGGAAAAAAACATTCGCCCTTAACGGTAGCATTAAACAAGTCCAGCAATGAGAGAGCAGGAGAGCTCGTAACTATACGATGAGAAAGGATGGGGAGGCAGACCCACAGAACGCACCAGGAGCAGGCTAGTTCAGACTTGTTCAAGAAGTGGCTTTAGGGGGGCAGGAATGGACAACTATAGATCCTGTGGCTTCAAACCGTATCACAGAGGAAAAATGAAGCATACACAGAACATGTATCATCCTCACTGCACAGCACTCTGACAGTCTTTGAGAGTTAGTGGAGGGAGACAGGAACCTTTGGCATTTCTTTGGGGGACTTCATGAGACATTGTAAAAAACAAAACAAACAAAAATCAAGCCAAATAAATAAACAAATCGTAATATTAAAAATAAAGTAGATGGGCAGATAGTGTAGACTAAATATGTGCGTGTGACATGCAAATAATTAAAATCTACTTAAAGGACTTTAGCATCTGAGATGTTGGTGTCTTCTGGAGTTAATCTCCTGAGGACCCTGAGGGATGACTATGTGTGGGCAGGCGCTGAATTAATAAGGTGAGAGATGTGGAGTGTGGGAAGAGAACACAGAAGGGCTGGACCTCGCTCATCTGTCATGCATGTGCCTCCTCCGGCTTTGAAAACAGCTCGGTCAACATAGCTTGTGCTTCCCGCAAGAGCTTTTCACAAAGCTCCCCGGGAACAACGTCAATCTTGTTAGAGGACACACGCCAGTGCAGAGAGGCTCCCAAATGTAAGAAGTTTGATTGGCGTCAGTATAAATCCCCTCTGTCAGTGAGAGGCTCCAGGAGGGGTGATATAGAAGTTGAGAACCTTTGTATGACACCCAGCAAGTTACCGGGACCTGGAGACACGCTGTAAATCCACGGCAGTCTTTGAAAGCACAGGCCACTGGCTCCGTCGTGAGACTCAGACCAATTCATAAGGGACAGAAATATAGCATTTCCCTAGGATGGCCTCTGAATGGAAACAGGCTGTTTCTGAGACCCTCCCGAAGTTACCTAACTTACAGCCTTTGGCCACCCATGTGGACAGGCAATGAGCAGTTAGTGAGTATATGCGCGACACCGGTTGGAATCAATAAAATCTGGCACTTTCCGGTGTGATTTGTAAGTGTTCCCACTGGACTGCCTCGGGGGTCTTAGGGCGAGGGAGTGGCTCCTCCCCACCAGGTGTTTCTGATTAGAGCCCCAGGCTCCCAGGCTTAGAATGATTTGTTTGCTTGTCTATCTCATTTGCAAAGTGAGCGGCGCCAGGCCAGGAGTGCTGTTCTACTGATAAGTTCCACGCAGACCCCAGCACCCAGCGTGGCACACAGAAGGCTGTAAGGTGAATATATAACATATGACGGAAAGAAAAAAAATCCTCTTACCCATTTTCTTTTTCTTCTCCCTGCTTCACAAATTCCCAAGCACAGGCAAGTTGCTGCCTTGTTTTAATTTGGTAAGGGAACAATGTGCCTCTCTCTGAGTGGTTTGGCTTTTGAGGCCATTTGCAGAAAATGCGAGTTTATAGAAATGAATTCCACGGCGTCATGGAAAGTAAATAAGACGAAGGAGCCATAATGGACAACGCACAGTTTTCATTCTGGCTGTCCTGCACCCAAATATGGAACCAATTCCCTCCCTTATTAGTGGAAAGGACAAGAGGGCCACTTGTGCCGGATCACAGGCTCACTGCTCCCTTTGTCAACCAATAAAAAGTCCCGGTGTTGGTAAGGGCTTCGGATGGTGTAGAACAAAGGGAAAGTTGAGGAAGCGTGCTAGCCGGCCTCCCGGACTCATCATGGAAGGGTGGCAGACGCAAGAGAGCCTTGTGTTTGTGTCTGTCTTTGTGTTTTTAAGCTCTGGGCTTCTGCTTTTCTTTGGCTTTCTCAGGTTAAAACACACACACACACACACACGCATGCACTTACACACACACTTACAACCTAAGTTTATATGAGAGCTGAAAATTTCAAACTGGTGAAGTCTGAAGTCAGGCTAAGTGATTATCAAGGAGCTATTTCCCTTCTATTTAAACTGTGTAAAGGAGACTCAAACCCCTGACAGTCTTCAGAGTTGTCCGGTCTAAAAGCAAGTTTCCTTAACGCCAAATGTTCTATAAGATTTAATTAATATAGATATTTTCTTTAAAATGAAAATTGGGATAGAAAATTAAATTTAATTCTAGATATCCTAGAAAGTTCTATGTGTAATCAAGCATCTAAGAGAAATGAAAGAAGATCATTGTTTTCATTAAGAGGGAGAGTAACAAAGATTTACGGTATAACTTTATTCTGTCAAAGTCAACCTGGGCAGCCCACTAGCCAACAGCCCTGTTTTTAAAGTGTAATTTGGGATGATATTGGAAGGTTTTGCCTGATCAGACTAAACCAGCTGTCTACCACAGAAAGGGAAATCCCAGCAGCCTCTTCTTTACTGAGTTTGCCTCATCCTTGATGTCTTAGACTCTGCTTAGTTTTACAAGGACAGATGTGAAGGAAAAACAGTAGGTGTAGAGCTTAGGATGAACACTTAGCATGGGCAGTGAAAGTACATTCCCTAAGAAAGAGCCACTGTACCCCTGGCTGGAACATGTAGAATGTGACAGTTCACATGCTAAGCCACCCTGGAGTGCCTTCCAGGGAGTGGGAGGCTACTTTCTTTGAGGTCTGTGCTCTTCATGAGGCATAATGGTGTCCAAATCTTGGCCAGAGCTTTGGTACATTTGTTGTTGTTATTTAATGCATACCTGCCCAGTTAAAATACAATTTGCAGACTACACTGCAATCCCATCACCCCTGTGGCCCAGGTACTACACACAGTGCAGGCATCATTTTGGCTGCCTATAGGGAGCACGATTGGAACCGGGAGCACAGAGCATAACTGGAGCGGGGCATGTGGATCTTCTATAGAGGACCCCACAGTGGGAGCACTAGCTCTCTCAGGAGGATGATTCAGGGGGTCTCTGCAGGTGTCACACAGAAAAACGAACCCTACGAATAGATAAGAATGAAAACTCGGTGTAGATTGACTTCATCAACCTGGATCAGACTTGGGGAGTCTAATAACAGGTGATTTATTCCCAGTGTATTTAAGTCTAGCATATTTTGCAAAAAGGTTTCCTAGTATAATACAATCCCCATTGCACAAAGAACATAATTACATTGAAACTCAAGTCAGGGTACCTGTCATTTCTTCCAAGAAGATGGGTTCTAGAGATATGCTACCTGTACTAGCTTAAGTGCCTAAGGGCCAGGCCTGGTCTCAGTCAAACAGATAGCATAGAGGTCATCTGGGCTGTTAGCTACCTCTGGTCCTGGTTGTAGGAGCTTGGGGGAGCCTCTGGCTATCAGGGTCATTTAGATTACTAACCACCTCCTGCTCTGGTGGTAAGAACTTGATATGGCCTGGCCGAACAGATAAGGAAGATCACCAGGATTTTAATCTCAGCTTTCTGGAGAGAAGAACAGGTTTTTCATCTTTCCCATTGGAAAGACAATCCTGTGTGCTTAACATTCCCATCTCTGGAGGTCTGTGGGCACAAGGATCTGTTCTTCCAAGGAATGGGGGGCAGCATCACCAGCTGTGCGAGCACCCTCGGGCCTTGGACATCCACAGCTCCAACAGCAGAGGCTTCATGATCATCGGAAACCGTGGACTTGGGACACGCCTACTCCTCCCACAAATGGCGGTCCAGCGGAACCTGGGATCCCATTAGGAAATCACTGAAGAAAGACTCGAGAGTCTCCCCTTCTCGGATGACTTTCTTGGATGACGGAGCCTGGGCAGAGCTTTCTGTAGTCGACACTGGAAACAAGGTGGAGTGGCTGCAATCCCAAATACCGTAGGCCATGAAGCAGCCGCGTGACCCGCCCAATGCTCGTGCCACATTCAGTTTCCCGTGTCATGAAGGCCGAGTGACAGGAGCCGCCCTCACTCCCCCTCCTGGAGAGACTATGCTCACGTGTTTGGGTCAAGTTGCAGAAGGAGATAAATGCCAGGAACTGTCAAAGGAGGCACTGGTCCTCAGCAGAGTTCGGAGACTCCCAGTGTTTTTTATTATACTCTGCCCTTTGGAACTTTCAACACGTGCCAAGCTTACGCAGTATGATGACTTGCTGCACTTATTATAACTTCCCTTTTAAAAAACTGCGTGAGGACAATGACTTTTAGTTCATGGCCATAAGAGAAAGCTGTGTGTTTGGTAGGTGCCCGATACATACTAGATTTTCAGTATGTATTCTCAACATACGGGTCGCGACCCCTTTGGGTCGCCAAAGACTATCGGAAAACACAGATGTTTACATTACAATTCATAACTAGTAAAATTACAATTATGACGTGGCAACAGAAATGACTTTATAGTTGGGGGTCAGCACAACATGAGGAACTGTGTTAAATGGTGGCAGCGTTAGGAAGGTTGAGAATCACTCTACTAGATGAATGAATGAATGAATGAATGAATGAATGAATGAACGAACAAACGAACGACCGCACACATGAGGAGTGAATGAGTGGATGAAGTGTTAAACCTCTCCCGTCCTAACTCTTTCATCTGTAAAATGAAAACTAGATGTACTCAACACAACATCTTCACAGAGAGCAACCAGTCTGGGCCCGCGGTAGACCTAGCCAGCCTTTATGCTCTCCCTGCTGCTGCTGGAGAGCAGGGTTTAGGGGTGTAGCTGCTCATGAGGACGAGGAGTGAGGCTGCCACAGTGGTTCAGTCCTGTCACTCAGAAATTAACCCTGCTCATCATGGAGATGGTGGATCGCACAGATATCCTAAAGTCTCACACGCATCCTATTTTCATGAAATGACTGTTCATACTCAATGAAACGAAAATGACTCTAGTCGTGTAAGACTGAGGCAGCGGGCTGGAAGCCAAATGTTCCAGCTACACTCTGTGGCTCTCCCTCACATGGGACCTACACAACTTGGGTGGGAAACTACTTTTAGAAGCCAGTATACTTAATTACAAAACAAGCATAGAAACGTGACTGTCTCCCTACATAGGGCTGTGTTCCCTTGGAAACAACAACAGTATTTACACAATAACTTAACTAAATATTAAATGGAAGTGAATAAATTCAAGAGGGAATATGTGGGCTTGGATGAAGAGTCCTCTGCGACTTGGCTCAAAGATAAAACAAGTGGATGAAAAGAACTTTTTATTTCTGGATGAAAAAAGGCATTAATGTGCTAGGTGGTGTTGGTACACACCTTTAGTCCCAGCACTCAGAAGGCAGAGTAGGTGGATCTCTGTGAGTTCAAGACCAGCCTGGTCGAGAGTGCATTCCAGGACAGTCTCCAAAGCTACTCTGAGAAATACTGTCTCATAAAACAAAACAAAGCAAAAAAAAAAAAAAAGGCTTTAATGCAAAGTATCAATTCCCAAATTAATTTATAAATGTGATATAAAAATCGCCACACCATCTTTGGACCTATTCAGAATAATGATTAGCATTATCCAAAAGCCTGAACTTACAAAAAGTAAATTATACCATTTTTTAAAAGTCAGAAAAACAAAGTTAAGGTAAAACTTGCCATCAGCTATTTAACAAGGAAAATCATAAAGCTGTAATAAAGTATAATAAATAAGATTACTGGTCATAATGCACTTCAGGTTATATATACTTTGCTAGGGGTCATGAGCTGAAGTTTGCAAATGATTGGTTTATAAATATCCCAAATGGAGCATAGTGAAGATAAATATGTGCAGCTATTACAAAACTATATAGTTGCTGCCATGGAAAGATGTGAACAATATGTGGTGGCTTGAATGACAGTGGCCCCCAAAGCTTCATATACTTAAATGCTTGTCCCTCGTTGGTGGAACTGTTTGGGAAGGATAAGGAGGTGTGGCCTTGTTGGAGGAGGCATGTCTTTGGGTGGGCTTTGAGGTTTTAAAAGCCCACACCATTCCCAGTTAGCTTGCTCTGACTGCTTGTGAATCAAAATGTGTTCTCTCAACTATTACTTCGGGTCATGCCTGCCTGTGCCGTGTTCCCTGCCATGAAGGTCACAGATGTGAACCCTCTGAAACTGTGATCCTCAAATAAATTCTTTTCTCTATAAGTTGCCTTAGTCATGGTGTCTTATTATAGCAATAGAAAAGTAATGAAGACAATAACTCTTGTATTTGCTAGACACTCCCCATTTGGGAAGAACAGAATGTCATATATGCAGAGGAAAAGAAACATGAAGAGTTTAGTGTCAATATATTAGTAATAGCTACAGTCCACTGACTGCAGGTGCTGAGTTTATGGGTGAGTGAAATCTTTTTACTCCTCTATGATGAATATGTATTAGTAATTAAAATACAAATTTCAAACATTTTTAAAGAGTTCCTAACATGTGATTCCATTTATACCTATTTTCAGGAAAAAAAATGCAGATCTGGCCTTTAGTTCATAGTTAATATTTATCATGATCCTCCATCAAAAATATGCCTTCATCAAAAAAGTAATTAAATCAAGCATTCCTGATTCTCTTTAACATTAAGTTTGCAGCAGTTGACAGCCCACAAACCGAAATAATTATATTTTTGTTATAAAACTGGAAACACTTTTTCCAGTTCCTGCCACAGACTTCTCTAAGAAT